TTCATTTTCGATGTTACGTTGATTAGTTATTATATACGTGTGTAAATGGGAATGCTATTCCCATTTTGTAGCATTTCCTTATCCCACAGATCAAACATCACATGGGAACTGTGAAAACAAAAAAAAAAAAAAAGGAGTAGAAAAGGATTTTATGATTAGTGAGGTCACATTTACACGTGCAAGGAGTTTATTTCAGCTATTACCTACCCCAAGAAACAAACAAACTGAATGGAATGGGAAGATTCGGGTTTAATATTTCATGTGGAATAAGCTAATGCGCAAGGGGAGGAGGAGGGCGAAGGGAGAATTGAGTAATAGTGTTTCGGAACATTTTTATAAACAATTTGACATATTCATATCTCATATGCTGAGAATATGTAGGGATATTTGTCTGTGTTTCATCCCTTAGCTGTAAACACCGACAACTGAAGGTGTGATTAGAGGAAGGAATCACCAGTACAGCCTCCTAACCATCCGGTAAAGTAGCAAATGTGCCGTGAAATAAACTGTAACGTTACATTATCATGTGCGCATGGCGCAACACTTCACCTGGTCATAACCAAATGTTCCAATATCTTTTTTTTCCACTCATGCCTTTTTCACTTTTTTTTCCATTCATGCGCTTGAAAACTACACTTTTTCCGATTAAACCCAAAGCTTTCAACACACATTCTTTTCACCGGTATCATAACAGACCTGGATTCTGCGCTGCCGCTGCTGGAGCACTTTCGGTTGCAGCGGTTGCGGTGTTCGCGTCTGTGGCCGCCGGTTGCTCCGTGGAAGGCTGCGATGCTGATTCTGGTGCCGGTGGAGGTGCTGGAGCCTTTTTCTGAAATCGTATGAAAATTTTCTGTAGCACATTCTATACAGACAATTCATGGGTACTGTGCTTTATACAACAAACGATGGGTGAAAAATTTCAAAAAAACCGTTTTACGAATAAAGTGCGGCAAAACTCATTAATCCTGGGGCTTCTACGACGTATTTGCCAATCATCGGGAACCCTATTTTTCCCTATTTTTTAATAAATTTGGTAAAACCAGGAGGTCAAATCGCAATGAAGTCAACGTGGATCGGCGTCCTTGTGTCCGTAACTACTCAGTAAAGTAACTTCAACAAGACTTACAGCGCCCCTTGACTGGCATGAGTGAAAAGGGCCGTTTTTTTCATCGCCAAGCGGCTGGAAGAGGAAAAATCAATTTTATAAGTTAACTTTTTGGATTTGCCGACAAATGGAATGTTTAAAAAGTATT